CAAAGCTAGAGGATCTTAGAGAGCGGGTGGCACTGTGTGGCCCTGTGATCTTGCAATGCCCAGTCTAATGCCTGACCTACATTCGTGCTGGTGGCACAATGGCCTCCCTTTTTATGACACGGTAGCATGCTTTCGGGAAAAAATGCTAATGCCCTCACCACCCGAGTAGAGCCAGAAAGCACAGATCCTTCTGCAATAACCATGCAAGAACCAAGACCAAAAAGAACTTCTACAGCCCTGAGCTAAAGTAAACTCTGAGCTCCCTGGCAGCCAAGGAGAAAGGAGAGTAAGAAAAACAAGGGGCTGTGTATCTTTTCATGTTTGACAAGACAGAACAAGAAACTTTCACTGACCCTAAGTGAGGGGACCAACCAACCACACGCCAAATGCCAGCTTATCACTCCTTCCAACAACAGTCCTCTCCCAGCCCCACGCCTCCATCAAGCTGCTGTGGTCTCCCAGGGTCCACTCAGAATCCTGACTCTCTGCTCTGAGCACAGCCTCCTAACCACACCTAGCTGCTGGCTGTCAAAAGGCAATGATGGGCATTAGATATCTTAGGGCATGCAGACAGCATACATCAAACATTGCAAGTGTGCAAAAGCCGACAGAATGGATTCCACCACAGCCTCCACAGCCAACCTTACTGTGGGGCTGTGTCCCTAAGTCATAGTGATCCAACTATGCAAGACGGTGGCTGGAACTCGTACCTGATCTGTAGGTGTTTGCTGGACAGATAGTGTCTCTAATCTCAATTCCAGTCCTGACCTCTTCAGACTGCTTCCCCCAGGGCTGGGCCTTAGTATACTCAGCTGTCTGTGGGACCAAGTAACCCTGATGCATTTGACCCTAGGACCACAGTAGTCAGAGCCGGAGGGACCCTCTTCCCCAAGTCCTCTTCACCCTTAGGACTGTGGTGTGTCCTGTGTCCTCAAGACTCACTGCACAAGCAGGCCCAGCCTGTGAGAAGGGAGCATGGCCTCACACCCTATGTGTGCACCTTGGGGTCTGCCACTTGGGCATAAATGACATGTGCCTCGTGGGTCAGCAATGAGGACCACTGATGAATAGTTACAGAGCTGGCAAGAACTGACATGCCCATTCCTTCCACTTTCCGGTTCCCATCTCCCTCTCCTGTCCAACTTCCCTGGATCCTACACCCCCACCTCCGCAATTAAGTCTCCCAAGATGGATGGGCCTTCATCAGACGCCCGGGCTAAAGCTCCCGGGATGGACAGGGAGGCAGTTCCTCCGCTGTTAATTAGGAGGACTCCTGGCAAAGACAGTGGTGCCAGCTGAGGGATGCGCTGCTGGTGTCATTTTTATGTGGCGTTACATATGCACCAGCTTAATGCCCTAATGTCAGAGCAAATAAATATCCTTGGAGCTGCCCCTCCCCCGCCACGCCCCCCAGCGGCTGTTCTCCTGGGCCCTGCATGTCTTTAATCTTACTGATTTATTTTCCTGCCTGCCTTGTGGCATATTAATGCTAGGTCAAAAAGTATTCCATCTGTTATTCTGAAGGTCTTATTTCATTTTTATTCAAGAATGTGTAATCCTGAGAAAAAATAATTACATATGAGATCAACAGCGCAGCCCTGCCCTGCGTTCTCCGAGTCCGATAACCACAAAGCCGGGAAGTGGAACTGAATCCATCCCTTTCCTCATGAGTGGGAAACTGAGGCTCGGGCAAGGTGTCTCTGTGCCAAAGTCAGCCTGGCACTTGGTTCTGTCTACATCTGTGGGGTGGGGGGACAGGTCTCACCTCAGTTGTCTCATGAGAGCTGGTTTTCGGGGTCTGGAGGTGACCAACACCTCACAGAGATGATTTAAGGAGGGAATATTTATCTTGGTTCACAGTTTTAGGGGCTCCACAAGAGGATGGAGAGGAAGGAGGAGGAGGGAGAAAGGGGGAAGAGGAGAGGAGGAGGGGAAGAGGATGGAGAGGAAGGAGGAGGGCGAGATGAGAGAAAAGGGAAGAGGTGAGGAGGGTAGGAAGGGAAAGAGAGGAAGAGGAAAGAGGAACTGTACCACCAGCTGACCCCAGGTCACTAACAGGTAGCCTTCACCTGTGCCTATAATGCCAACTGTATTCGCCCCTCCCCCAGGCACACTCTCAGCCTGTACTTCCAGGCTTTCTCCCAAGATCCAGGAGGGACCTCAGGCCAGGCAGTTGCACCCCATCTCCTGGAGATGGACCACTTAGTTATGCCTGGGTGCTGGGCTCTGGTCCTTGTCCTGGGGTCGGGTAAGCTACAGGGGTCATCTGAAGCTCAAGGGCCTGAGCGTAGACCTGAGGTCACAGAGGGGAACCAACCCGTCTTCAGCGTGATGGAGAATAAACGGAACCGAGGAGCTGAGCAGGTGCTCCAGAGGTCACAGGGTCCCGATGCAGCCCCACCCTCTCCTGAAGCCGCTTGCTCCACTTTGGGTTTCCATCGCGGACCTGTGAGATGTGAGGAGTGCCAGCAGACAGCCAAGCTGTGCACACGGGGCGGCAGAGGACAAGAAGGTAGCATGGTGCTGCAGGTCGCCCACCCACGCAGCGGCCGCTGCCCGGTCTGAGTGAGGAGCAAGGTGGGCGACTCTGCTGTCAGATGGGCAGGGCCAGGCTTGTGCGTGACTGGCTGCTGTGCCAGCTGTGAGCTTGTCCACGCGTTTCCCCAGCTGCCTGTTTTACGCTGTGCTGTAGAATGCTGCAAAGCAGACAGCCCTCTCCCGAGCTGCTCTGTGCAAAACAGAGCCTAAGCCACAGACAGCATGCTGGTTGCCCAGCTTTTATCAAGCCTTGGCTGCGGCCCACAGGATGCTATACAGGGTCAAGCTGGGGCTTCCCCCAAAGATGAGGTTCACGCTCCATCACTATGACAGCCCCCTGTGATACCCACCTACTGGTAGAAAGGGTTCACTCCAGATCATAGTTTCAAATGACTCAGTCAGCAGTTGGCCGGCGCCATGGCAGAGGGACATGGAAGAACACAGTTGGGACTGGAGAGAGACTGGTGTCCCATTATCCCTTCAAGAGCACCCCATTGGCACAATGGCCTCCCATTAGACCTCTCCTGCTAAGGTTTCCAGAGCCTGAAACAGTCCCAGGCTTAGAGACCAAGCCTTTATTTACCCAGGGGCTAGCCTTCCAAGGCTGGTGCAACCTAGCATGCACACCTGGACCTCTGGAATATCCTCATGGGGGCAGTGGTAGGAACTCCCAACCCAGAAGTGGGAGTGGCAGCTTAGGCCCCATCTCTACTCTCTGTGGTGGCAATGCCCAACTCCGTGATCCTTAAATGAGATTGTAAGGTCAGCTTCATACATTCTGAACCCTCCTTTCCACCTAGCTCTGGTGCTGGTCTGGGGACACTCTGACCTCCTAATGACAAGCCTTAGGTATTCATAGTGAGAAAAGACGTTGGCCTCAAGCAGGCAGAAGGCATACCCCAGAGGCAGGAATTCAGAATGGGGGAGTCTGTCAGATGGGCCCAGGTATTCAAGGTTTTCATTAAAGGCTGCTAAAGTGTGCTGAGATGCCTGTGATGTATGCCTGGTTCCACGGGCTGAGCCATGCACCAGTGTTCCCTCCCCTTCATAGTCCAAACATCCAGGCCCAAATCATGGCCAGTCTATACCTCAGAGAACAAACTCAGCCACACGCTCAACAAGTTGATATGTATGAGGCATTACTATGGACATAAACAGTAGTGGGGTACCAGGCTGTGGGGAGTGGCTCTCAGGAGCCAAAGAACAAGGAATGAATGGATGGATGTCTTGCCCAATTGAAGCCGTGGCCATCGGGCACTTGAAAGCCACTGCCAGTCCGTAGTGAGGACATAGGTCAGTCATCCAGGAGTTCTGTAGATCCCATCCACACAGGGGGATGCAAGGTCTTCATAGGAGACCACTCTTACATCCATGTCCTTTGACAACACACCTGCAGTTAACATGCCAGTGCTTGGAGATAGCCCCTTAACTTGGAAGACGAAGCCATCAGCCCATATGTCCACTGTTCTATGCTGGGCTGTCCTTTCCGGGGCCTGGATCCTAGGGCTTACACACATTGCACAGGCCAGTCATGGAGAAAAACCCAGCGCCTGGTCTTGGAAAGTCCTATAACCAGGTCTGTAGAGAGTTTTGCTCAAGCTTTAGAGGCAGATAGTGGCCATCACATAGACCCAGCAGCTTGTAGGAGAAAGAGAGCCACTGGCCAGTGTGGGATGTGGGGAGGTGTCACAGGGTGACCCACAGATCCTTCCCATCCTTCCCAAACTCTCCCACGGCATGAGTGAGCATTGTCAAAAGCTGTTCAAGCTAAGGAGTGCATTGTGTGTGTGTCCAAGCACTCAACCCTTCAACATAGGGTATGAGAACCTTTGACATCGAAAGTCAGGGTTTATGTAGGTTTGCTAAGATCTACCCTCTCAAAAAGGTTTGCATGTTGGTAGGATTGGGCCCCAAGCCCAGCCTGGCATGGCTGCCCACTGGCACATAAGCCTGTCTCTGAGGCCTCTGAGTAGAGAATGCCAGGTCCCCTCCTCCTACAGCAATGAGCATACACACACTCTTCTCCAGCCCTGGGCTGCCCTCATCCTAACCATAGAAGGCATTTTTGTAACAATAAAAATAGATTTAATAACCAGACAGCAAATTGTAATTTTTAAGGGGAAAAAAAGCAAGGGTAGTAAATATTCATTGGTTTTTTCCCCTATGAGATCATGAGGTCATGTTTTAGAAATAGATTGCAGTGTTGCAGACGTGCCGACATTACACATAGGCACGCACACACATGTGCACAGACTCAACTGTGACTCCCACTGGATAGCAGCTATAGGAAGCAGGAAGCCCCTCCCTCCACCTGGAGCCCAGTGCTGTGACCTCATGTGATCTCCTGGGCCTTCTGGACACAAACTCCCAGTGACTAAAATCATGTTAGAATCTGCTGGCTCTCTCTGGGGGGTGGGGTGGGGGAAGGGCACTGGAAGGAGAGGGAGGTGGGGAAACTACAGTCAGGATGTAATATTTGAGAGAAAAAATAAGATTATTGGATCTAAAAAAAAAAGAATCTGTCTTCTGTGTCCTGAAGCAGAGAGTATGGTTACTGGGAAGCATGCATGGGGCCCCCAGACCACGCCTGCTATGTGGTCTTTTGTCCATTTCATCAGTGAAGACAGCGGTGGTGGCAGCCGATCCATCCACCTAGATGGCCAGCTTCTCAGAGCCAGGTCCCGTTTGATTCTAGCACACAAGAGACAAACTGTGCTCCCTGCGGGCTGAGGCCTCAGTGTTTCCCCTCCAGGGGAGCTGCGTGCCTATCATTCACCTTTCCATCCGTTCGGCAAATCCGCTGCCAGGACCCAGCTTCAAGAACATCTCAAGGTCCACCCACTGGAGAGACAGCCGCCACCACTGCCTATCAAAGTCCAAAGTCCAGCCGAGGACAAGCCAGCACAGGCCAGGGTGTGAGGAACCCAGGCCCTGCCAGAACTGACACACCAGCGAGGAAGGGATTGCTGAGGGAGACACTCGATGGTGGCCTTGGTGGGGGGGCCTCCGCCAATCACCCAAGAAAGGGAACCCTGAAGGAAGTAGGTGGGCTGCCACATTAGACTTTACAAACGAAGGGGAGCCAAGGAAGGTATCGGAGCAGGAGAGTACTGGTGGTTGCTCCTGAGATACTGTGACTCTGTGGGGTGGGGGTGGGGCGGGGACCAGCCATTCTCTGGAGGCCTGGAGGGAGCATGAAAAGCCTTTGAGCACTGCCCTTCGCTGCCTGGGTAAGATAGACTCGCCTACATCGGGCTGTGTAGTAAGATCTGGGTGTGGAGGTGGCTGGGTCCCCATGGTGGGGGGGGGGGCATGGCTGTCGCAGAGAGGGTAGGGCCTGTGCATCCTGAACCCCGCAGTCTGACCCAGTCCCCACTCTACCTGAGGACTCTGCAGATTCCTGGCTTCCTGCATCCACAGCCTCCTCATGCCCTCTGTCCACCGACAGCCTCCTCCAGACATCCTAAAGAGACATGTGCAGTGGATGTCTGTCCAGGTAACACAGTCGGCACATTCTGGAGTGGCCTGGAGGTCAAGCCTAGAGGTCAGCATGGCAGAGGCAGCCAGTGTAGCAGTGAGGGGCACAGGGGACAGGGGACCAGTTCTAGCAGAGTCCCAGCCTCTGTTTTGGGTTCAGCTGCCCCGCTGGGGCACCAGCCACAGGGAAGGGACAGGAGGGGGCTGGCAGACAGGAGAGCCCATCCTTCAAGTGACAACCTCCTTATTACCCCCTCTTTGCTGCAGGGACAGAGCCCCACAGCCGCAATGGGCTTAGTTGGGTCTAAGCCAGATTCCACATTTCCCACTCCAGAACTAACCACTGCACACAGATGAAGCCCCTCCTCACCTGTCCCCTAAGGGAGGACCAGAGGAACTGTCCAGTCGCCACCCCAGTTCTCACTCAACCCTGAGGGCTTCCACCCATCCCAGGCCCAGACTGATAACTACAGGAACAAGGTGACTGCAATAGGCCTGCCCCTTGCTGCAGTTGAGTCTCTGCCTGCCCTTCCCACTCTCCCATCTTGTGACTGGAATCTCTGGCCCAGGATGAAGGTAAGTATTGCAAGGATTTTCTAATGGGGTGGGGTGGGGGTGCCAAGTAGCTCCCCTCTGACCCCAACCAAAGTCTCAATGATAAACCAAAGTTCACTTCTACCTAAGTTCACCCTGGGGAACCAGTGACTTTGTTAGGTTACCTATAGAGCAGTGGCTGAGGGTTACAGACAGGTCTGTGGGCGACACCAAAGTAGCCACACTGGAAGATCTGTACCAAGCATGGAGGGTGGCTTTCTCATGGGTGAGTAAATTACCAGCCCGTGTACTCCAGCCCCTCCCCCAGGCCACATGCAATTGGGGCAGAACTGAGCACAACCGGCTGACAGACACTCAAGTGACGGTCCCATTACCCTCCTCCTTTCAGGAAATGTCAGCAATGAACAAGGCCAGCTGGGATGATCCTTTGCAAGCAGCCACAGCTAAACTCATGAAGATGACGGTTGCCTGGCTCGGAGGGTCGTGCCGTTCAACAGCAGCAGCTGACGACTACAACAGCAGGTGACTACAAAGAACTGTGACACACAGTAGGACAAGGAAAGAAGGAATCAATATCTGCCCAGACCACTGCCCCGGCTCCACACCAGCCACGTGTCTGCTTTTGACTCTCCCCGCCTCCCTTCATGGGGGGCAGCGATGGCTCCGGTACCTCAGCCTTCGTGGGGCTGGTTCATTTCTGGCTGTGGTGAGCTAGTTTACGAAGGCCTGAACTCCCGGGCCTCTGAGAGGCCACTGTGTGTGCCTCCCAAACCTGCCCATCTCTTCCCATTACATCCTAGACCCATCAGCCTCCCATCATTCTCCTTCTCCCTTACAAAATGGTCCACACTCCTGTGTGAGGGCCTTGGAGGAGCCGTCATTGGGCTGGTATGTGGCTTCCCAATGTCTCACGGCTTGCTCTCTCACTCAGGGTTATGCTTGACTGTGCCTCCCAGACACACCTTCCCTGGCGTTGTCACCTCACCCACAGCCCCCACCCCTTGATCCCCATTTCCTCCCCTGCTACCTCTCCTTCTCAGAGCTCATTCCGTATCTAAAGAGAGAGCTCACTGCCCACAGAGATTTCTGTTTCTTCTGAGTCTTCAGCAAGACAGTGTGCAAAGATTCTCCCTTCTTGTCTTCTTGATGAGGCCATTTCAGGTTTAACTAGAATTTGATCTCCTTGATGAAGAATCCCATGGAAAATTACCCACCTCAAACCCAAGGTCAAGATGCCCCAACTCATTTATCTTACCTTCGGTTAGATTGCCTGCTTGTACAGAACGCCTCACAGCTAATCGCTTGCACTTGCTTCTGCTCAGTCGCTTGCTTCTGTGGCTCTGCCCTGCAGCTGCTGAGCAAGATGGCCAGGATGTGGTTTTTGACTTCCAAAGCCCAGTGCTTTGGATACTACACTTTAGACCTGAATACCTGACTGTAGTCCCAGCCAGGTGGAATAAAGACTTTCAGTTGGCTGTAAACTGAGCGCAGAGCCTAGTATGTGGTAGGTGAGCTGCCAGGGCTTGTGAGTACTTCCTGGAGGAGGATCAGAGCCCCCTGATATCAGTCACTTGGATGGGGTTCTTTTGACTTCTGAAGGTGGAGATGGCATACTCTGAGGAACCAGTTACCTGGCTGGAAGTCACTGGTCCATTACCTCTCTGCTGACCCAGAAAACCATCACACCATCTCCACATCATCTCCACCGAAGCAGTGTGTCCCCAGAAGCTGCCTTCTCCTGAGATTCTGTTGGCTCTCTTTTCCCAGGGGTCCATGGCCTGAAGCCTTTGATCCTTCAATCCAGCATTGGAGCTACAGAGAAGACCAGCAGGAAAGGTGGGGGGTATACTGCGTGTGTGTGTGTGTGTGTGTGTGTGTGTGTGTGTGTGTCTGTGTCTGTGTGTGTCTGTGTGTGTGTCTGTGTCCCTGTGTGTGTCTGTGTCTGTGTGTGTCTGTGTGTGTGTCTGTGTCCCTGTGTGTGTGTCTGTGTCTGTGTGTGTCTGTGTCTGTGTCCCTGTGTGTGTGTGTGTGCGCGCGTCTATGTCTGTGTGTCTGTGTATGTGTGTGCCTGTGTGTGCCTGTGTGTGTGTGTGTGTGTGTGTGTGTCTGTGTGTGTGTCTCTGTCTGTCTGTCTGTCTGTCTGTCTGTGTCCATTGTTTGGGTGGGAATGCCTCCTTCCCTGCTTTCCTTCTCCACCCGTCCTTCTTTCTTTCTCCTTTCTTTTTCTTCCTTCCTTCCTTTCTCTTTTTTCTTCAAATTTTGCTACAGCAGACTGAGCCCCAGACCATGGTCAGATCAGAGCTTGTGATCTGGGTGCTAGAAGGGGAGCCCACACTGAGTGAGCGAGTGTACGTACAGGAAAGCCTGGTGGGCACCATGAGAGCCTATCAAGCACCGAGTATCCTTTCAGCTCCCACCCAGCACCCAGCCCATGTCCCCTTGCTCATCGCCCTCTGGGCTGCTCCTGTGAATTGCTTGTACCCACGCCTGGCTGGGCACTTAAGTGCTGGGGATTCTGAATGCAAAGGAGCCTGGAGGCCCATTATGCCGAGCTTATGTGGGAATAATGAGGGGGAGATTCTGTAATGTGAGGCTGTGTCTAATAAAGGGAAATTTATTCAGTGCGTTCCAGAGGAGCGAGCGCTGGCTAGCCTTAAAACAAAATTGCCACGTGCAAATGCGGTGTGCATTCCAACAAAGGCTGGATTGCAGCCACCCTTATCCTGAACTGGGCCTAGGATGGGCTGAGGTGGGCTGAGTTGGGGAGTCAAGCTGGGGACACGGCTGAAGTGGTCTCCTACTTCTCATTTTAGACACAGGGTGGATGATAGGGGCTCCATCTTTATGCAACATTTATTTCTGGAGTGAGGGTTCTGAAGTGCACCTAGCATCCCTTGTACCCCATCTCAGACCCCATTAAGCCTTCCTGTGGGGCTCTGTCCCTTCAGTAAGGAGGGTGGTCATGTGAAGGATGGACTCTCCTGTCTGCCAGCCCCAGGGCTCCACCCTGTGCCTTCCCTGAGGCTGGTGCACACGTCTCTTTAGGATGTCTGTAGGAGGCAGTCAGTGGACAGAGGGCATGAAGAGGCTGTGGAGGCAGGAAGCCAGGGATCTGCAAAGTCCTCAGGTAGAGTGGGGACTGGGGCAGACTGCGGGGCTCAGGATGCACAGGCCCTACCCTCTCCAGTGTGGATCCTTCCAGGACTGAGTCACGGTGCAGTGGTAGGGAGATGCCTGCTCAAATGTGAAGGGTGGGATGGGTCATCTGACCCAGCTCCATCTTGACCAGCAATCCTCAATCAATAGGTGTCCCTCTTGATCTCCAGGCCAGATTTGGTCTCATGTGCAAGTGGATGTGACCAGGTCTTCATGGGGCAGACGAGTGGGCTCAGAGACATCACCAGACCTTCCTGTGAAGATGTCACGCTGTGCTGTTTCTGTGCCCATGCTGTTTCCAGCCTCCAGCTGTTGTTGAGATGCTGGGCAACTTGGAAAACATAGCCAGGATGTGCTTACAAAGCCACCGAGTCTTCCTTGGGGATGACCTGTGTCTCTCCATCCGTTCCACAACCACAACACTGGCACCTTCCCAATGTTGTGTCTTCCGATTCATCATTTATTTAGTCTCTTTGGGTGATATTTTAAAATTTGTTTGAGCATATAGGACCTGCGTATGCTTTGTTGAATTTATTCCCAACCATTTCCTCAAGCTCTTTGAAGTGTTTACAACATTTTCAATTTCTGGTTGTTTGTGGCTGACTTGTGAAAATGCAATCGGTCTTTGTGTGTTGAATGTTACAGAATGAAATGTGTCTGGCAACCCAAAGTTCATACTCAAATGTCATTACCATGTTTCCCAGGTAATTAAGTTGAAATGAGGTGTTAGGGTGGTCCTTTCCCAGTGTCACTGTGGTCTGCAGGGGGAAGGTCAGAAGAGGACACAGGTGATGCCCCCAAGCTGAGGAGAAGGGTATCCAGACATTGGACTGGGCACATGAGAGTCTGAATTTAAGTCATGTGGTACTTCCTTGGGGTAACCATGGCACGCTTGTTACCTGGACCCACCTCCTTGTTACAGTGAGAGATTTAAAATAATGTGTGTGGGGTTTTCTCCTGGTCTACCTTGTGTCTTGGGTGGGAACCTAGTGAGCTTGCTAGATAGAGCAAGCAACATGTAAAGTCATCCTCAGCGATTTCTCCTGACCCAGTATGTTGCTGATGCTGCTGCCCATAATGAGGCCACCTTTCTCTTCCTTCCCTTGTCCCCACCATTCTACACTGGCCACATGTGTTACACAGGGGCTCAGCCACTATGGAAGGCAAGTACATAGTGTGGACATCCTGGCCCCTACCCCCAGCCTCTCCTGGGTAACAAGTGTGGCCAGTTAGGCGTTGTGGCCTATGAGTCACCTTTCCTCAAGCTCCAGGTGACCTTGCCAATGCAACGTTGGTAAAGTTTTGCTAGATGGATGGATGGATGCAGGGTATCACCAAGAACAAGCTCAGTGGGCTTTGCAAGCTGATTCTAAAGTCAAGCAAAGGCTGGAGCAGCCAGATGATCTGGGATGGAAGAAAAGAGAGAGGCCACATGACTTCACTGCAAGACAGACTGCAATACGGAGGTGAGGACAAGGAGCACTTCAGAAGGGATAGACCTGTGGGCCCAGTGTGGTAGCAGGCACTGTGTGCAATCCCAGCACTCGGGAGGCTGAGATGGCTCAGCTGTTAAGGGCCCTTGATGCTCTATCATGTGGGCTGGAGTTTGGATCCCAGCACCCACATCAAGACACTCACAAACTCCACAACTCCAACTCTAGGGGATCTGATGCCTTATTCTGGCTTCCTTGAGAACCTACACATATAGACATACACATGCACACAGACATACAGACCCACAGTGTGTAAATAATAAAAATAAAGACAGAGATTAATAAGACAGAATAGAGATTACACACGTGTGTGTGAGACTTTAAGAGGAGACATAATAAATTCAATGATGAAAGTATTACCTTCCCAACAGAGGGAATCCAGACATTGGCCCCTTGTATGAAGAATAAAGATCAGACCCCTGCCTCACATCAGCCCCTAAACATACCAGATGATGGGAAGAGCTGAATGTTTTAATGCCTTAGAAGAGTTTTAGACAAAAATAAGGAAGTGTCTTTTTATACTGTTTAAGAAAAGAAATTCTGTGACGTAAAATCCAAAACCCAGAAGGTGTAAAGAGAAAAAGCTGACAGTTTTTACCAGAGAAGCCAATTCTGTCTTCTCTTTGAGCAAGGACTCTATTTGAAAAAGACAAGGAACAGACTGGAAAGAGTATTTTCAGCCCTTAAAACAAGCAAAGGGTTATTTTTTAGACAATACGAAAAACGTTTCAAGTCAAGAAAGAGAATACAACAAACCCAGAAGCAAAACAAGCAGAGACATACCCGGGCAGCTTGGAGCGGGAGAGGTGCAATTAGCATAATTCAAAGAGACTCAAATTAAAGTGCTGAGATAATATTTTGTCTCCAGACTGACAAACATTTAAAATAGTGACAATATCTGGCACCGACAGAGAGGTAACTGCAATCATTGCACACATTACAAGTGTGAATTTGCCAGGTCTGTTTATTGCGCAACTTCCTGAGGTCTGCGAACACCTGAAGGGATACGTCCTCCCGCTATGCAGACTCATTCCTAGAAGCCTGTCCTGCAGAGATGCGAATGAGTGTCTCCTAGCTGCTGTGACATGTTCCCACCACCTTCTGGGTTTAAACAAACAAATCCTTCTCGGTGAAGATTGAAGTTAGACGGGCCTACCCCAAACCCAAAATGATGTCCTACCTCAAGGACTTACCTTCACAGGAGGGTACCACAGTCAGAAACCTTGGATTAAGATGCAGATGTCTTTCAGAGTGTGAGGAGGGCCATTCTGTCTATAACATGAGTTATTCGAGGTGAATGTTCCAGCATCAGTTACAAACGTGAAAAACAGGATGACCCCTGTATCCTCTAATGAGAAAAAGATTCACACAAAGACAAACACAGCACTCATGCAACGGTCCACGTCTTAGTTTACTTTCCTGTTGCCATGGTAAAACACCCTGACAAAGGCAACTTTCTGGCTCACAGTTCAAGAGTACAGTGGGGTAAGGCGACAGGAGTTTGGATCAGCTGGTTGCATCATACCCACCATCAGAAAGCTGTGAGTGGTTGTGGCTACCTAACTCCCTTTCTCCACTCATACAGCCTGAGAATCCATCCAGGGAATGGTGCCACCCACAGTGGGCAGCTATGTGGGGATCAAGATGATCCCCAACAGATGTGGCCAGAGACCTGTCGCAGAGGTGATTCTAGATTCTGTCAAGTTGACAAGACTAACTATCCCAGTGTATACTACACCACCAGTAAGGGAAATTCGCCCCACCCAAGCTGGCTTTCAAAGTCTTCCAGGCTCCATTGATCAAGCACACTATCATCAAAGCACAATCCCGCTAGCATGGAGAAATCTTGATGACACTGAAGACATAAAGATGAAGATGATAGAGTCAGTGGCAAACACACGTACAAGCAGTAAAGAAAAGATTTCTGATGTTTCTACATGGGTACCTGCGGAAAGAAGCAGCTAGATCACTGACTATATTGTAACAACACTGAGGGCCAACAAAGCCTGTTGCTTGCCCTTTCAAGGAAGGCTGGAATCCTGGTCTCACCTTCTGAGGTTAGAGAGAGGGGTCTCCACCCTCCCTCCACTCCAGGGCCAGGCCTCACACGCTGCGGGTCCCCTTGAAAGCTGTCGTATGGATGGGCGGAGCACAGAAGGCTGGCTCCTGCCTGCTCTGTGTCTTGTCTTGCTGGCTTTCGTCTTTAGCTACTGTGGACCCCAGCCTACCTTGAGCCATCTCACAAGCCCATCTTACTGCATGGAGACATCATCTCCACTCATCACCTAGTGAACCCCTATCTACCTACAAAGCCTTAGCTTGAAATGCTCTGCTCTGTCAGCTAATTCCTGGTGTGTGTGTGTGTGTGTGTCTGTGTCTGTGTCTGTGTCTGTGTCTGTGTCTGTGGGTGGGTGTACGTATATATGTATGTATGCATGCATGCATGTATGTATGTATGTATATGTACACACATATACATATCTATATAGACAGACAGATAGTTGACTGTCCATTTCCTCAGCCCCTATCTGGGTGACACTGTTGCCAGTAATAAAGATATTAAGAGGATTCCTACAGTATCCCTAACATTTACAGAGAGCCTGGCTCCACAATTAAGAATCAGAAGCCTGGCTACCCAATAGTTCCCCAGGAGACACAAGAACCTCTGAAGGCCTTCCTTCCCCAGGCCTCCAATCCACCGGACTCCGATGGCAGTCAGCTCCAACACAGGGCAGCTAGCCTGCTTCCTAACTTGGGAATAGAAAGCTGTTCTTATCGGAGGTTGCTGTAGAAGGAAGCAGGTGGAGGAGGTATTTTGGGGTTTGGAAGGGGCCCCCCAGAGCCTGTGAAATCACACCAAGTAGGCAGCCACCTACTCTGCCTAAATATAATGCCAGTCTCAGGCTGCAGAGCGAGCTGCCTCCCAGCTAGCCGCCCCCCAGCCGGCAGCGTGGGCCTCTGCTTGAGCCTCTGTAGGCCTCTCAACCACCCTGTGCTGGCAGCTGCCTGCTCCTGCCCCATTGAGGCCCGACGCTTCTGAGGCCTCCCGTGCCGGTGCCTCACTCAAAACAGGCCTGTGTGGAAGAGCCGTGGCGCGTGTCCATGCGTTGCACATGAAAGAAGCCACCTGTGGCAGCGCCTTTGATACCCACATCAGAGTTTCCGGGCTTCCTCGGCCTGGTCCTCTTTGTCCAGCCTCATGGGATCCTCCTTGTAGTTCATGACCTTGAGGATGGTGAGGTGGCCTCCTCCTGACTTCCAACAGCAAAGAAAAGGAGTGGGAGGTGGTGAGGCCTGAAACCCTCTTCCCGGCCGCTCCTTCTTCTATGCAGGGGCTGTGGGTGAGGCCCTTCCCAGATTCTGGGTCTGTACTATTTTCTCAGAAAGAGTGAGCTTCATAAAATTCTAGCATGGCGTCCCTCACTCCATCTCTTCTCTGGACACTGAGGATAAATCCCTGTTCTGGCACCATGTACACGTTCCTGGTCTCAGGGGTGACCCCTGCTGGAGATGCAAAGGTACTCTGACAATTAGAGCCTAGCCTGCTCTGGTTTGGGAAAGCTGGAATTGAAGGCCCTGCCCTGCCCCTGTCCCTGCCCTGCCCCTGCCCCTGCCCTGCCCCTGTCCCTGTCCCTGTCCCTGTCCCTGTCCCTGTCCCTACTCTGGGACATAGAAGCGGTCCCTGTATGAAGGAAAGAGCAGGTCTATCCAGCCAAATGGACTCTGCCACCTCCAGTGGTTTTCTTTGCCTAAATTTGAGCCTTCCCAACCTCTGAGTAAGAACAGACCCAAGGACCAGGCCAATTTCCTCTTTAATCACCTAGCAAATAACCAGGCCCTCTGGGGTGGGTCTAGGACCCACTACAATATCCAGAACTCCCTCTGTGATTTTTCCTGGTGCTCAAGACAAACCATCTATGATTTTATGTGATCACTACACTATATTCCACAAAGCCATACATTAGAGAGATACACCAAGTGGGCTGCCAGGGACCTTAAAAGCATTCAAAGACCAAATGGGTACCAAGGAACTAGGTAAGACAGGGACTTAAAACATGTTCAAAATTTGCAGATGCGATAGACCAGAGGGTTCTGGGGAGACAGTTGTCAAGAAAGTACTTGCCATGCAAGCATGAGGACCTTGGTTCAGCCTCCCAGGATGCATATAAATTGCCAGGCATGGTTACATAGTCCTGTTATCTTAGTATTAGAGAGGCAGAGGCAGGAGGATCCCTGGAGTTTGGCCAGCAAGACTAACCAAGTCAGTGAGCTCTGGGTTCAGAGATCTTATCTCAAAATAACAGTAAGGATGTCTGGAAAAGTCATAAGAGATCATACTATTATCTACCTTTAAAAAATAAAGAAAGAAAACCCCATAATACTTGTAAGTCTGTGAATATATATTCCATTGTCACCTAGGACAGGTGCTGGCCACCTCTGATGGTTTTCTTACCCTGAAATCTGAGGAGTCTGCTTGGGCTCTGAGTGAGAACAGACCCAAGACACAACTTTAAATGAAATTTTTTCATCTGGGCTTCTTCCAGGAGCCAAAGACCACCTAATGAAATAATAATAATAATAATAATAATAATAATAATAATAATAATAATATGGAGACTGACAGAAGATGCATGCATGCACACGCGCACACACACACACACACACACACACACACACAATTTGCAGGTGAATATGAGGAGATGGGCATGGAGGCCATAACACTTGAAGTCCAAAGTCTGTCCCAGTTTCTGGGCCACTCACCCCCCCATCTGCTGTGGCTTCCTATTGCCTTGCTCCATTCTATATGTCATCAAAACACCTGCTTTTTGGACTCCCCCTGACCTCCCCGTCACACCTTGGCTTAGAGCAGTGGCTCTCAACCTTTCTAATGCTGGGCTCTTCAATACAGTTCCTCATGATTTGTGGTGACCCCAACCATAAAATCATTTTTGTTTATACTGTATCTTTGATACTGTTACAGATTGTAATGTAAATATCTGTGTTTTCCAGTGGTCTTAGGAGACCCCTGTGGAAGGGTCACTTGACGCCCAGGGTTGTGACGCACAGGTTGAGAGCCACTGGCTAAGAGGCTCATTCACCAAACCAGCATATAGTGGGCCCCATCTCGTCAGCCTGTGCCTGACTCTTCCTCCAAGGCCATCCTGTCTCCGTAAAGCTCGGCTGAGCTGGCCCTCCTTTCACAGCTGGTGTGACATCCCACCCCCCCACACACACACCCAGACGCCAATCTCATCTGCTGCTCACAGCTGTCCGCAATGCAGTCCTCACCCCTTTACGGGATGTTTCCTGTCAGTCCCCCACCCACTCACCCATCCAGCCTCATTCATCCAGCACCCACTGCCTCAGCTCTCCAGGTGCCCATGAGAGGTCTTGAGGTGCAGTTATATCATCTCTCTTACCGGATGTGTATATTTGTCCTCACTCCAGGCCCAGATGTAATGCTTTATCTTGTGTGGGAGGAAGGAGTCCTCCTCCACCTTAGATGTCAGAATCCAGTTGGCGTGTCCACCATCCCTAGTAGGAAGTTCAGCACGGCCGCTTGTTTTCATAACTCCCGACGGAGTTTCCATTTCTTCCTGAGAGATAGAAACGCTGAAGCAGCAGAGCCAAGGCCCGGCTGCAGTCAGGTAGATGTCCCTGGACTGATGACCCTGGGTCTCTATGGGGACTCACAGCGGGTAAGCCTCAAGCAGGAGGTAGACCAGGTGCCCACTGCAAACCCCAGGAGGCTTTTACAAAAGGTGGGGGGTCTGGAGGGATGTCCAGAGGAAGCCTCGGCTCCCAAGGCAAGGTCACAATGATCCTGCAGTACCTAGCTTGGACATGGGGCATCTCTAAACGTCATGGCATTACCCTGAGGATCCTCTCAGTCATCGATAATTCATAGTCCACTTGAACTCCCCTAGCGATGGGGCAGTTCAGAGGCAACCAGCGAACCTTCCAGTTAGCTTACTCCAGCCAGGCTCTTAACTGAACATTATGGCCTAACTAAATAAGCTAGCCACAGGCTGGCAACCCAGAAAGGCTTGCCTTGTGCCCATGGTTCTTATTTGAGGTCCGCACTGCACTGCACTTTCTACTGCTGTGGAATTGTGCTGGGACAACCAGGGAGCCTTGGATGAGGCTCCCACCCAAGGGGTCAAGGCCAGGGTCCCAGCTTGAGACACCCCAACCACTTTCTCTCACTCATTCAGACCTGGGGCCTTGCTTCTAAACTTCTAAACCAAGACCCACCGTGCTGTGTGTCTCAGCCCTTGGAGAAGATGCCCTCCTTATGTCCCTATCTAAGTCTGGTTGTGCCCATCCCTGACTCTCACCAGGTCATCTAACCCTCTAGTTATATCTCTAGCTTCCTGCCCAGGGGGTTCTCTAGTCTGACTCCCAACCAGGCATTCACACTGGGACCCTGACTTTTTATTTTTATTTATTTTATTTTATTTGGTTTTTCGAGACAGGGTTTCTCTGTACTGTTTTGGAGGCTGTCCTGGAACTTGCTCTGTAGACCAGGCTAGCCTCGAACTCACAGAGATCCGCCTGCCTCTGCCTCCTGAGTGCTGGGATTAAAGGCGTGCGCCACCAACACCTGGCTGACCCTGACTTTTTCTACACTGGGCTACTCTGGTGTGCACTCAAGACTCTGCCTTGGCAGCATCTGGTGCTCAGGGGCTGTCCCTCCCCATATAGGTGACCCCCAACTCCTATTCCAGGAATCATGATTCACCCCCACAGGCTGTGTGTGGCTTCATTTTCTGGGTTTTCCCCCCCTCAGTGGTGATCTAGAAGGCTGTTATAACTCGGCCACAGTGTCTCAGAATTTGTAGTGGGCTGGAGAGGAAAGGAACATGTTATTCTGATTTCTGGGGGGGAAAAAACCATTAGCTTTCAGAAAACATCCCCCAAGATAGAGGCTTTTGACCCTGGCTTTGATGTGAACCCAGCTTTGCTCGGATCTTTGGGACTTGCTGCAAGCAATGGCCATTACACTCCATTGCACTTGGCTCTGTCATCTCCAGGACTGGAGTGGCAGGTGACAGATGGTCTGCCTCTATCTTCAGGTTGGGCTTATACCCCGCCCAGCAGACCAGGTGCCTGCTGCCGGCTGTCCATGCTCACAGCATGCTGTCACTAAGCCTGGGCCTCTGCTGGAGTAGAAAAGCGTCTTCTGAAGCCTGAGCATCTGAGGTCAGAGTTTGCTGCCTGGGACCCTTGGACCAGCACAGCACCCAGGTTCAGCAACACTCTGCCAGGCCTAAGCATCATGTCAGCTACTAGGTGCCTCTGAGCCCCAGTCTTCCGATCCAAGTGACAGAGTAGGCAAAGCCACAGAGGCTGTGAGGACAGAGTATTGGCAATATTAGTGATCGCCAGGTGTTCCAGTCACTGTTTTATTGCCGTCAGGAGACGCCATGACCAAGGCAAAGCTTACAAAAGAAAGCATTTGACTGGGGGCTTGCTTACAGTCTCAGAGTTTATTTAGTTCATCATCATTATCATGGCAGGGAGCCTGGCAGCACTCAGGCAGGCACTGGAACAGTAGCTGAGATCTATATCCTGATCTTCAGGCAGAGAGAGAGAGAGAGAGAGAGAGAGAGAGAGAGAGGAGACTGGGCCTGGTGTGAGCCTTTGGAAACCTCCAAGCCCACCCTCAGTGACACACTTTCTCCAACATGGCCATACCTTCTGGTCCTTCTAATACTTCTCAAATGGCATCACTCCCTGGTGACTGAGCACTCAAATATACAAGTCTATGGGGGCCATTCTTATTAAAACCCCCACACTAGTCCACACCCCATCCACACTAACCCTGACTAAGCTAAACTCTGGCATCATACTGATGCTGCCTGAGACAGTGTGAGTAGGGGTCATCTTGATCTTGCCTGCATGCCTTGCAAGCTGTAAAGAAACTACCTGTCTTCCCTCTGGGCTCTGCCTCTTTGTCTGTGTGGGTAGATACAACAGAGACATGAGTCTGCTCAGGGAAGCCCCAGAATTCATGCCCAGGGCACATGGACTCCAGGGATGCCGGGGGTCCGGCCTGAACCTCCGTACAGTATTGTCTCCTGGGAGCACGCCACTGGCTCCTCAGTGGGCAGTACAGTTCTGCTTCTCAGATAAGGAACTGACGCCCACAGACCAGAAGTCCGATGTCACCCCACTAGTAGGCTTTTAAGAAGCTGGCCTGTGAGAGCCAGTGAGGAGGGTGTTGGTGCACCCTGATAGCACCACAGCCATTGCTGAGGCAGAAAGTCTAGTAAGAAGTCCCAAGTATACTGATTTCTCCAAAATGGTCCCTAAGGTTAGACTCCAGGACCATGGCAGTGTGGGAGTCTCCCATCAGGCCACTGTGTTTGGCTTGAACCACTTAGAGGGGCCTCCTGAAGGCAGTGGTCACCATAGTGCCATCGAGGACCATGGGTGATGGCTGACCCAGATGGGTTCCTGACAGCTGGCATTCAAGAAATACCCTGGGTGCCAGCTGGAGAGGACAGAGGGAGAGACAACCACAACGGGAAGAGTTATTCCCTCCAGCTCCCTGAACCCAAGACAGTGGGGCATAAACAGATCAGGTTTTGCTCTTTCCTGCCCTGGAGCCCACAGCTGGCAACTGAATCAAACCAACCGTTCAGTGTGCTTCTGATCTGGCTGTTTGGGAATTGGGCCTCAGGCCTGGCTGCTCGCATTAGCACTTCAGACATATTAGTGATTCACTTTCTATGCCAGGGTTTGATTTCCCCTGCAAGGCTTCTTTGGGTACAGAGGCCAGCTAATGAGAGCTGCCAAGGGCTCAGTCCCAGAGCCATTGTGGGAAGAGCCAAGGAGGCCAGGCGCAGGACTATGTGAGGGCAGGGCTTACCTCTCCCACCATATGCCCCTCCCTGTCCTGTAAACAGTCAACACTCGCTCAGCCCATCACCACCATGGCCCCAGGGAGAGCTGATTGGTAGCTTTTCCACTTTGCAGAGGAAGAAACTGAGACACAGAGAGTGGCCACCCCTTCCAGGACCCAGGACTATGAACACCTTGTTCACCTGGCAGCTGCCCTCTCCCCCATGATGTCCCCAACAAAGGCTGTCCTTCCTGAGAGCATTGGCATTGTGCCCCTGCCCCAAGGCCACTTTTGACCAGTGTCATTGTTAATACTGACTAGTGTGCCACTCACCGCCCTCAGTCTCTCTCAGTGGCCCGCCTCAGTATCCACCTGAGCAAGGGATGCCGGGGGGGGGGGGGAGGACTACCCCAGAGATAGGAAGATTTGGCAGAAGTGCAGGAAGACCCAGGACACACTGGGGCCATTGTCCAGGCCATGGGGACATAAGAGAAGATGGGTACAGCTGCCATGTCTACAGGGTAGGGCATCAGCAAGGCTTCCTTGGTCAAGAAGGCGTCGAGCTGAGCTATTTTCACTAAGAAAATGCAATAGACTGAGGCTGGACCCATTCTGACCTTTTGCCACTAAAGCAGTGGCCAGAATGGGGCTCCTCGGAGAATACCTGCCTCTCAGTGACCTTGGCCTGCCTCTTGGTGGCACTGGTAAAGCAAGTCAAAGCTGCCTCCAAGCCCTGGGCCTTGCTACAGCTAGAGAAAGGACCTCTCATGATTACAGGCTTGTCTCCATGCCCCTGGATAGAGACAGCAGCGAAGGACTCGGTAGGCATCCCACAGGGAAAGAGAGACATTGTTCAGTTAGATCTCCAAACATGGAATTGACCATTGGAAAAATAGTGCTGTCCACCTCAGCACATGTAAAGTTGGCTCTGTACACACACACCTGGTGGTACATCCTTGGGCTGTGTCAAAGAGTGGCACAGGAGCCAGGACCAGCCCAAGTGATCAAGTGAGGTCTTTCTAGCAACTGTTCAGGCACTTCTGCTCACACTGCTCACATTCCTTACCTCAAGCATCTGCATGCACACAAACGTGCATGTAGATGGCACGCTCAAACACGGGCATGCACAGAGCCGTCACATTCATACATACATTCAGCACATATATATATACGAGTTCATGACATATGTGCTCCAGTGCAGGAAGTATATTCTTAACACATATACTATACTCCTACATGCTGTCTTAGCTTCTCCTGCAGCTGTGCTAAAATCCTATGAGTAAAGCAACTTGGGGGAAAAAATGTGTAGCCTGGCTCACAGTTCCAGGGTACTGTCCATCTTTACAAGAAGTCCAGGCAGCAGGAGCTTGAAGCAGTTGCTCCCCTCAAATCTACTGAAGCAAAGAGTGAGGGATACATGCTGCTACTAGGCTCCCTTTCTTCATTTATACAGTCCAGGATCCCAGCCAGGGAATGGTGCCACCCACAGTGGGCAGATCTTCCCACCTTAACATAATCAAGATAACCCCTCACAGGCATGCCCAGGGGTCCTTCTCTAAGGTGACTCAAGATTCTGTCAAACTGATAGTTAATACTAAGTGTCAGAGGGCTGGAGAGATAGATGTCTTAGCAGTTAAGAGCACTTGCTCTTGCACAGGACCTTGGTTAAGTTCCCAGCAACATCAGATGGTGACTCTCAACCAACTATAATTCCAGTTCTAGGAGATGCAACACCCTCTTCTGATCTCC